TTATTACACCGGAGGAAGCTATTAATCAGAGACAATGAAATTCTTTATTTCAATAAATTCATGAGGTTGCAGGAAAGGAAATTATCCCAGATGATGCAGTAAATAACCAGCAAATTCAAACAACGAATATGTTTGCTATATTGGAGGATCAGGATGATGATGATACAGAAAACAATCAACTGGCAATTGTTGAGGAGGGTCAAGAAGTGCTCATGGTGGAAAATAATGCTCATTCTAAATAAAGGAATCGAGGACAAGGGAGTAGAAGTCCTAATAAAGCATGTTCTGCTGGAAATAGAAAAGGACTAAATCCATCTGCTCCAAGTTTTATACTTACATCAAATGGGAGTAAGGTAGTAAAACAAGGAGGACCTACTATCTCTAATGGAGAAAGTAATGGGAAGCCAAGCAACAAGGAACCCACATCAAAATGGGTACAACCAGCATTTACTGGCAATGTAGTAGCTACTAACACATCATACCAAGAGGTTCTATCACAAGACACAAGAGTGGATGACAATTTGGCAAAGAAAAAGAAAGGCTTGACTGGTGATGAAACAGATGCAACTAATGAAATTTTTGTTGCAAAGGAGAGAATTAAGTGGACAGGTGGTAGAGTATGGAGCAATCAAATCGAAGAAGATCCAGAAGAAGGGATCATTCCTGATGGTATGCAAGCAGACCGAGATTCAGATGTGAATTTTGAAGAAGAAGAGAAAAGTGTCAATGGTGAGGATAATGCTAGCAAAGAGGAAGAGTTGATCAATAACATACAAGAAAAAACACAGCCTACTGATAAGAACAAAGAAAAAACTGGAGAAGCTACAAAGTTGATTGTTCAACAAGGAAATAGGGTGGTAGAAACAGGAAATCAGACTACTTCTGCAGTAAATCCAAAGGATGTAAACGTGAATATGGGGGATCCAGGTGGGACTTGGGGAAAAATAACTGGTCCTCAAGAGATTAACAAAGATGTGAGAGTGCTACAACTGGAAACAAGAATAGGCCCAACGACAGCAACACTGTTCCATTGTTTGACAGACAACAGAAGCAGCAATATCAAGGGGAAATAGGCATACATGCTGAGGAACATCTTAAACAATTGGATGCAGTAGTAGACCAATAGCAAGGATTTGGTGATCATTTTAACATTCTAGGCAAGGACCTAGATGAGGAATCTAGTGCACATAACTTCAGAAACATTGCACGACAAGGGGACCTATCTCCAAGGCATAACAATAAGGGAAAGTCAGCGACTAAAGGGAGAAACAAGAATGCTAAGGAATCAGCTAAGAAATCTTCACTTTTGCCTTTAACTGGAATTCAAACAAGGAGGACACTTACCAAATCTAATAACCTCTAATGGATGCTCTAATTTGGAATATTAGGTCAGTCAGGACCATGCAAGCTTTTGAGAGACTCATCACTTTGAATAAACAACATCACTTTGAGTTCATTGGAATTATGAAACCAAAACAACAAGCTAGGAAACTAGAGAGATACAGAAGAAGAATTGGATTCGCCTAGGCTATTGCAAATGTATCCAATAAAATTTGGGTGTTCATAGAGGAGGTTTTTGAAGTTTCAATCATATATGATATGGTACAATAGCTTACAATAAAATTTGTCCACACTGAAACTCATGTGCAATTGCTCTTAACTCTAGTGTATGCAAAATGCGATTCCATTGCGAGGATTGAGTTATGGGATTCAATGTATGATATGGCAAGAGACATGACAGTTACATGGCTTGTAGCAGGGGATTTTAATGTTATATGGGATGAGGAGAGAAGTTTGGGGGATTACTAGTTTCATTGAATGAGATTGACGACTTCAGACATTGCATAAATACCTGCAACCTAGCAGATTTGGGCTTCATAGGTAGTATATTCACGTGGTGGAATGAGAGAGCTAATGAAGAATGCATTTTTAAAAGATTAGATTGTTGTTTAGCCAATATGGAATTCCAACAAACTTTCCCTGATTTGGAGGTCACTCACCTCCCTAAAATTGGATCAGATCACTGTCCATTAATGCTGAAATATGACATTGAAGCCGCACCAGTGAAGAAATCCTTTAGGTTCTTGAATTTCTAGATAAAGCATGAATCATTCAAAGAAGTAGTGAAAGAAAACTGGAATGCTGACTTTTATGCCAATCCATTTGTTTTGTTCAACTACAAACTGAAGAAACTGAAGAAAGCAGTAACTGTATGGAGCAAGGCAACCTATGGAGATATTTTTCAAAAAATAGCAAGCCTATAGGAGGTGGTTATGGTCCACGAAGCCCAATTTGAAGCCTTTCCCACTCAAGAGAACAGATAGAGATTACAGAAAGTGCAGGCAGACATGATCAAATATTTGGCTATTGAAGAGGAGTTTTGGAAGCAAAAGGCAGGAATGCAATGGTTCAAAGAGGGTGACAGAAATACTAAATTTTTCCATGCACATGTAAATGGCAAAAGGAAGAAGCTTCAGATCAAAAGAATAGAAAATAGCAAAGGTGCTTGGATTGAACAAGATGAAGAAATTGCAGAGGAGGTAGTGAGTTTTTTCAAGAACCAATTCACTGAAAAATGATATCCCCACAAGATTCCATATCCTAGACCACATCCCTGCCTTGATAGATACAGATCAAAATGTTGAACTACTGATGCAGCCAATTAAGGAAGAGGTGAAAAAAGCAATTCAAGGATTAAATGGGGAGAGTGCAGGTGGACCAGATGGATTTACAGGCTGTTTCTATCAATTTTGATGGGATATCATTGGAGATGACATCTATGACATTTTTAGAGTTGTATTCAATAGAAATGAATTGCCTAAATGTATCACTCATACCAACCTTGTCTTATTACCAAAGAAGAAGGAGATGCCATCTTTCTCTGATTTGAGGCCCATAAGCCTTAGCAACTTTTCCAACAAAATTATTTCAAGAGTTATTCATGAAAGATTAGTAGTATTTCTTCCTAACATTAATAGTGAGGAACAGGCAGGATTTGTAAAAGGAAGGAGCATTACTGAGAATGTGTTGTTGACCCAGGAAATCATAAACAACATTAGATTGAGAACCAATGCAGGTCCTAATGTGGTCATTAAGCTACACATGGCTAAGGCCTATGATAGGCTCTCCTGGTTATTCTTAACAAAGGTGCTGAGGAAGATGGGATTTGATAAGAGATTCATAAGAATGGTGTTTGGAATTGTTTCAAACAATTGGTATTCAGTAGTCATAAATGGACAACCTTTTGGTTTTTTCAAATCAACTAGGGGTGTCAAGCAAGGGGATCCCCTATCACCAACACTATTCATACTAGTTGCTGAAGCCTTGTCTAGAGGTCTAAACTCTTTGCAGTTGAATCTTTACTTTTGTGGATATGGTATGCCTAAATGGAGCCATAAGATAAATCACTTGGCATATGCAGATGACACTATCATTTTTTCCTCATCTGATGCTACTTCTCTTAAGTTGGTGATGGAAGTCTTGAATGCTTATGAAGTAGCCTCTGGTCAGCTTGTAAACAAGAGCAAGTCTGCAGTCTATATGCATCACTTGGTAGAGAGGGAGGTTGTCACAAAGGTAGAAAGAATCACTGGAATTGGAAGGAATGATTTTCCTTGTACATATCTTGGATGTACTATCTTTTACTCTAAAAGGAAGAAGGATTACTATCAAAACTTGATTACTAAAGTCATGGACAAACTACAAGCTTAGAAAGGGAAGTTGTTATCAGTAGGAGGCAAGGCAGTTTTGATATCTCATGCGTTGCAGAGTATGCCAATTCATCTACTCTCAGCTGTAAACCCTCCACATTTTGTCATAATTAGTTTACACAAAATATTTGCTCAATTTTTTTGGAGAAGTGCTATAGGCTGACCTAGTAGGCACTGGGCTTCATGGAATAATTTGTGTATGCCTTGTGAGGAGGGGGCATTGGTTTTAGATCACTACATGATGTATCAAAGGCGTTGTTCTACAAATTGTGGTGGAATTTTAGAACCAAGCCAAGCCTATGGAGTTCATTCATGTGCCAAAAGTATTACAAGAAGTTAAATGCTGTAATTGTGCCTTGGAGAAATGGGTCTCATATTTGTAGGAAAATGCTGGAGTGCAGAGATAGTATTGAACATCAAATCACTTTGAACCCTAAGATGGGATCCTCCCTATTTTGGTTTGATAACTGGACAGGACTGGGAGCTCTTTATTTCCTAGTTCCACAAGTATTTAGGATTGATGAATCTATTCGCAATGTGAATGATGTAGTGGAGGATGACATATGGAATGTGGAGAAGATTCATGAAGCTTTACCTATGGAATTTTCTATGCATATTCTGGAAAGGATTAAGCCACTAGTGATGGAAAATAAGTTGGACATACCTTACTAGATGCTACAATCATGAGGGAATTTTAGTGTCAAATCTTCTTGGGACTATTTGAGGAGGAGGAATGACCCACGTCTGGCTTATAAAATGATGTGGGTGAAAGGATTGCCATTCAAGATTTCCTTTTTTATGTGGAAAGTGTTGAAAGCTAAGTTACCCCTTGAAGATTTTTTGAAAAGGTTGGGATATAGTATGCCCTCAAGGTGTTGGTGCTGCACTGAACCACAGGAAGAGTCATTGACACATTTATTCTTCACCTCTAATGCTGCAAAGTTAGTATGGAAATACTTCCTTACTATAGCTGGAATACGAATAGAAGTATTATCAATGCATCAGGCGATCATAAAGTGTTGGACTGCTAGTGTGATTCCTAGAATAAAGTCTATCATGCAATCGCTACCCTCTTGCATAGTCTGGGAATTGTGAAAAAGGAGAAATGGTTACAAATATGGGGAGGCAGTCACAATCAGTAGGGTAATCTACCAGGTTTCTTCATCTCTTCAAGCTCTTGTTCGAGTTAGGAAGCCTGGTATTACTAATTTCCCTCATAAATGGCATGAGTTATTACAGATGCTGGAAAACTATACCCCAAGGTTAACATATGAAAAAGTAATCTAGGAGATGCCTAGTGAGGGATGGGTTAAAGTCAACACTGATGGTGCTTCGAGGGGGAATCCGGGAAAGAGTTCAATTGGGGTTTGTGTGAGGAATCAGGAAGGTGATGTTATTTATGCTCTTGGAAAGGAGATTAATGAGGCAACCAATACTGAAGCTAAAGCACTTGCATTTCTGGAGGCCTTAAAGATAGGCAATGAGCACAATTACAATAATGTTTGGCTGCAAACTGATTCCATGCCGATAAAGAAATTTGTTGAAGAATTGTGGAAAACTCCTTGGTGTATTGTCAAATATATGGAGGAAATTTGGCAACTAATGGGCAGGGGTAATTACAGGGTGTCACACATCTACAGGGAAGGAGACAAACAAGCGTACTACCTTGCCAACTATGCTATCGATATAGGAGACATTGAATTCCATGGCTTTAGGCAGCTGGATTCAAAGGGAAGGAAAATAGTCAATCAAGACAAACTCCAATGCCCATATTTGAGGGTGAAAGTTGCAAGGAATTAATGAGTAAGATCCAAAGGAGGAGGATAAGTACAGAGGAAAGTTCAGACCATCATGGACAAACAACTTGGGAGGAGTACATTGTGGTGCTAGTTTTTCCCTTAAATGCAGGTCGTGATCAGGCATCTTTGACATGCCTATTGAGGGATGTTCAGATGGTGGCTCATTCCATTGAAAGGATCTCACGGGTGGGCATACATGTAGAGGCCAAGCTGGGTACTCAGATGCTCATCTTAGGCAGTAGCATTTTTTCATGGAAATTTGTAGCAGTCGACATTAAACCATGCATGCATAAGCGAATAAAGCAATATTTGTTAAGTTTTCTGATGCTGCGACAACTTCTGACTCATTCAATTATAATACAAACGCACTCCAATAATCGAGCACAACTTGAATGGCTAAAGATATTGGATGTAGCAACAGCATGCTGGGGAACGCCTGATTTCGAGAAAAAGCTAGAAACACACAAAAGAATAACACTGCTTTGTATTTTTTTAATGCACGCCTGTCTCGTTGATCGTTATGCGCGCCAATTTCAGACATATGCAGAATACCAACTCCACATCCTTCGGGAGGAGGAATTAAAGGTCTTTTTCTCTATCATAGCTTTCTTTTTTGCAGGTGAAATTTATTTAGTTATGCACTCCTATTTGCTGCAGCTTTTAAGGGTGGTATTAGCTATTGATGCTCATTCCCTTGATGAAGCAACAATAGGAGGCATAAGCTTAGAAATTTTACACAAAGCAAAAGGAGACCTGGACAGTCGAGATCCAACATTGAGCATCCAAGTAATTTCTAATACTGTGACAATTTGGAATAACAAAAGGGCTTGAAGGCATCGAGACCATCTCTTAAAACCAGAAATAATCAAGCAACAAACGAATAGCTATTTGGACATGTTACTAAGCGACAAGGAATATTGGCAATTACCTATGGCAAAACATTACACATCATGGAACTTCACTCTAATGCAATATTGTAATGTGACCTCCAAAATAGGGTGCCAAACACTGAAACACATTGAACAGGTCTGGAATTCAAGAGAGGCAGGAATTCAACAACACAATCACAAAAAACATCGAAGGAATTCTGGTGTACTCATGCATTGCCTCCTACTGCGACTTCATTGGGTGGTATACGCACTATCTGCTCATTCCCTTGAAGAAGGAAAAGAGGCATGCACAACCATGACAACTGTGACTAGGACTCTCTTGCAATACTGTAGGATCAGTTTTACGACCAGAATGATGGCCATGCATTGCTCCATCAGTTCTGAGATGTCTACTGATACAATAGTCTCAAAAGGATTCAAGGTGACAATACACGATAATGCAGGCATAGAAATTCTTAACATGGCAGTGTCTAAGGTTACAAGAAGAAGGTACTGGGCAAGAATTTGGTGGATGCGTATAGCGGACAACTATAGATCACCTTGGATATTAATTTCAATTAAACAAGATAGATGGACAAAATAGGAAAGAATTTATCTATAGTACTTAACAAGAATCATCACAAGTGGGAGCAAAAAGGAAAACAAATTGGCTAAAGAACTCAAAGAATAGCGGCAAAAAATGAACCATCGATATAAGAAGCTACATGGTTATATTAGATCGTATGTGATGTCAATAATGAGTTCAGTGCTCAATATTTGTAATAGGTTCTATGTAATCATCATATTTTATTTCTTTCATGTTGTAAGACCACCTGACACTATGTTTCATTTTTTATTTTTTATATATAAAAAACTAGCCCTAGGCAATGCCTAGTAGATTGCTAAAAAAAGGGAAAAGAAATGAAGCTGATTTTTTGGGTCGTTTTATGTTAGTTGTCTCAAGCCCAGTGTAATTATCCCTTAAACCCATCCAGTCCAACCCATGATCCGACCCAATACCTGGTCCAATCCCCACATAACCCAAACGACCCCGTTTTAGTTCGGTTGAATTTCAACCNTCCCTCACTCGTCTCTCTCACCTCCTCACTTCAGATACCAAACAAAACCCTAGATCGCCGCCTCCATTTTCCCACCTCGAGCCGGGCGGCGCCACTCCTAATCCACACCAAATTAACACCCTATGACCCCCATTATCCCCTCAAACCAAATCCATAACCACTTGCCTTCGAATCATCCCGAAACCTCTCAAATTTTAGATCAAAGATCTGAACCCTAAAATCCCAAAGTCCTTGATTCGAAATTTCTTGAAAATCCCAGGTCTAATTTGATTTTATTCACGTGTTTTTGATAAGAACAAACGATTAATATCTAAATTGACTAAAGATTTGAAGTTTCTTCTTCATCGTTTGCTGGACCGAGATTGTTTTTAGGTATTGTTCTTTTCTTTATTTTTTGATATTTAGTTTTGTTCTCTTCTCATCTTTTTCTTTTCTGATTTTTGCTTCCTTTTCTTTCATTTCTTTCAAATCGTCAGTTTTGCATGTCTAGTCTTAGAATTTGTTTAATTAGTATTCGTTTTCTGTTTTGAGTTTTAATGTATTTCAGAGTTTCTTTTTCTACTTGGAGTCCAAAATTGCTCGAGTCATTCGGACTCTGTAAATGAAATTGTAAAGTTTTTGAGCCTTCAATTGTGGAATTGAAGTTCTGTTGAAATCAGAAGCCAAAAATGACTTGGACCTGGATTTTCGCAAGCGGGACTGGGTGTTAACAATTGGGTCAACTTGACCCATGACCCATTTGCTTTCAGGGGTAAAAATAGGGCTCTTATGGGGTAATCTAGGAAATCTAGGTAAGGGAATAATCTGTAACTAACTGAGGAAGCTTCATAGAAGCTGGAGTGGGGATTAATCTGAAAGTCTGATTTTTACACTAAGGGTGTCTAAGCAAAAATAAAAACATAAAAAGGGTAGAGGTGCAAAACTGAATTCGTTGAAGTCTGCCCTAACACCTTGCCTATAAAGGTATCATTACCTGATATTCGAAAAAGGGGATCAGAGATAAAAATTATGGAAAAATAAAAAACGACTGAGCTAAGAAAGGATGCTAAAAACTCTTGCATTCTTGGTCTGATTCTGCAATTGGTCTCTCTATTTTGATCCTTCAAAGGACTTTAGTTGATTCCTGGAATTATAAATGATTTAAAGGCTATGGGATACTGTTTTATTGCTGGGTTTGAGCTGGTTTCTGCTGATATTTCTCTTTGCTGAGTTATTGCTGCTGCTATTTATTGTTGTTACTGTTTTTTCTGGATCTCAAATTTTGTTTTTGATTCTGTTTTTGCTATATTCAGGTACATGATTCTGAACCTTATTTAATGTAAGGTTGGAATTGAAGAATGAAATGGAAAAACAGAGTTTAAAGTATAGTAGCAACTTTATTTATGATTCTTCAGTATTTCCCCATGTTATGGTATCTTTAGTAATTTGATTCATGGTATATTTTAGTTGATTTTGAATTTGGATAGTTTAGTTCTCATGCTTGTATTTGATTTGGGAATTGTTGAAATGCTGTAGTAGAAGATTCAAGTTGAATCATATTGTATCTTAAATTTGCTTTACGTTTTGCTAAAACAAGGATCGTTCTTGGTGAAGATTTCAGGTTTAGATTGGTTACAATGGCTATTGTAGGTTAAGAATAGATTAATAATATGTAATATGCTGTTTGAAAGATACCGTGAGGAGTTATTTTGCTGTAAATGGCCTGTTTCATAGACCCATGTTGAAAATAGTTAAATTGGCTATTGTTCTTGTTTAAAGTTTGGCATGAATTAATTCGGGATCCTATGTCTTGTTAAATGAGGTTATACCTGTTTGTTTGAGGTCAGGTTTGTTGCTACGGGGAAAGGTTTAAACATACGTTATTTGTATCCAAGGAGGCTCGATCTTGAGTCTTAAGCCTCCAACGCTCGACCTTGCATTTGGATTGGGCTCTTTTCGGGGCCCAATGTCTATTTTTCTAATGATGCTGCCATATGGGACCAAGGCAGACTTGACCCAAGAGTACGGATGTAAATTCGGAAATTTAGTTTAGTTGACTTACATTCTAATAATCCAAGTTCCAGAAGTAAAAATGTTGATTCAATAGCATGTTTCATATAGAATTGTTGGATTTGCATTCTAATAGACTTTGCCCCATCGATTGGGTTCTGAATTAGGCTATAGCATTGGCCAAGTTTTGCCAGGTTTCCCTTTGATGGGCACATTTCAGCTATGGGCTTCACGTTTGAGCCCATTTGTATCCTCCTGGTTGTTAACAAAATGGTCAATTAGTCGTCGTGTTCATAGCTCACCTGGGCCCCTTCAGTAACTCAATTTGATGTCACGTACTGCTAGCCTGCGAACTATTATCACTGAGTTTTAAAATTTTGCCTTAATGTTTGGAAATTTTTCAGCCGTTGAATTAATTGGCAAGGCCCTTTAAATTAGTCGAGCTGCGCCATATCAAGCAAGACCAATGTTTATGGCCCTCGAAATTAAGTTTAGAAACCTTTTGGTTAGAATAAATTGAGGTGTGCCGTGCCAAATAAAATCTCAAAAGATGCATGACACTCGCTTAATTAATTTTAACCCCTTAGAAATCGAGGTAGGTCATTAGTTGAATTTTTCATGGCCCTCGCAAACTTGAAAGTGCGTAGTTGTTTTAGGCACGTAATTAAAATTACCTTCCTAAACTCGGGTGTGCATTTATGTGACCCAAATCTAAATCTCAAACAATGTTAAATAAAATGTGTCATGGACCGCGGGTGCATTTATGTGACGTTGTTCAAGACGTGTTTTAGATGACATTGAATCTTCCTACTAAAAAATAGTTAAGTAAAAGCGGTTATAAAATTAAAATTGTACCATAGGTTAAAACGTGTTTTAAAATCAGATAATAGGCTAATTATAACAGTTGAGCGACCGTGCTAGAACCACGGAACTCGGTAATGCCTAACACCTTCTCCCGGGTTAACAGAATTCCTTACCGAATTTCTATGTTCGCGGATTGTAATGCAGAGTCAATCTTTTCCTCGATTCGGTATTTGAACCGGTGACTTGGGACACCATAGAAT